GTTAAGGTATGAATGGAAAGAGTAATTTTTCTTACAAATATGTAGAGTTAGTTTATATATCAACATGTAGACACGAATATGTGATGAAGTTAATCTAGGTTGACCCGCTAAACTTATCTTTTTGGCAAAATATTTTACTTCTAAGTGTGATAATATTATTAGATGGATATGGACATTAAATGTATTGGATTAGGATAATTAATGCATTTGTACTTAAACGTATGTTTTTTTTTTAAGAATACTTAAATGTATGTACATTATTTATCTATCATAAAAATATAAAGATGTTTTAATCCTCGGTAGAACTCCAAAAGTTAAAAAAATAATAAAAAAGGTTATATACTCAATTTCTCATTTGCTCATTCTATAAAAGACACAATCTCTCATTAAAAAATATACATTTCTTTGAAAATAAATATATTACTCTCACGTAGAATAAGCTTTGATTTTGTTTTTATCATTTCGGAAGTTTGATTTTAATCTGGTAAATCATCTTGAAAGATATAATAATAATAATATTCATTATATTTTTCAAAAAATCATCTCTAAATTTTACCTTTTGATCGTAGGAAGAGGAGAATACGAATGAAGAAAAATAATGGTCACTCTATTATTTTCTTTAGATAGAGTAAAGATTGAACGTTAATCTTTTAAATAATAACGTCGATCCTGAGATCAAACAAACAACACAGATATATATTCTACATAATATTAATTTTGGTAATTCAGGTCATGCCATTAAATCATCATGATTGATGTGATAATAGCAAACTTACAAGAATGATTTTTTTTTCCCTTTTTCATTTTTCTATCTTTTATTGGACAAATAAAGAATGATGATCAACCCGACAAGAGCCTTCTATCCATAATTATTAAGTTCAAATAATAATGCTCGCCAAATATTACACAACATATGAGTGTTTATTTTATGATTGTAATCTTTAATTTCGGGTAACTTAGAAATTAAGCTTGGAGAGTAATTTGTGTCTTTTATGTAATCTTAAAAATATAGTAGAAATATAGCACATATTTAATATATATTATTCATACAGCGTAATTTATGTGTGTGGTTTTACATTACATCTGAATTTGATTTTTTTTAGTACAGCAAATGTATGGTATGAGAATTCCAACATCTGATTTCAAGATAATTAGTATATATCATTTACATTAAGCTAAGCTCATATTAGTTATTTAAATTTAATTTGAACTATGCTATTTTCATAAAATTTTAAATTTTATTTGAAAATACATATTTTTTTTGTTTTTAAAATTAAAAAAAAAGCCTTACATTTTGAGTTTTAAAAAAAATGATGTGATGTGGGTTAAAAGTATATATATGAGTTTTTTTTTCTTTTCGTTTTGTAATTCACCTTCATTTGTATTTTATTGCACCAACATCGTCATTATCAACTGTGATGAGTATACAAAAATGTTAAGTATCATATCATAGTTTCAAAATCTCCATTTTTTTAGTACAACATGTGGGATGAGGGGTCGAACTCACAATCTCTATAGATATATGTCAATTATTACCAATCTCTATAGATATATGTCAATTATTACTAAACTATGCTTACTTTGGAAAAAAAAAAACTTCATTTTTTATTTGTATATTGCAATTTAATGTAATCATAAGCATTGTGTTTACTCACGTCAAACAAAAAAAGAAGATATTTTTCAAGATTGAAATTGAGATAAATGATTAAATTTAATACAAATCGAATAATTTAATTAATAATTATGATTCACGATGTTGTATCTCAAAATAATAAACAATAATAATAAATGACACATCAATACACATTTTGGATGATTAATATTTTTGCTTTTATTTTTTATTTTGTTGTTTACTAGCATTACTCTATCTAATTTTTTCACTTTCCTAAGTTTTAGTCAAAATTTTATAATTATAAAATAGATTTTGGAAATTAATTTTTTTTAAAATAAAATAGGATACTTTTTTTTTTCAAACTATATTACAAATTACAATACTAAAAAAACGACATTATATAAGCACAATTCTTAGAAATTGAAAAAACACGATTAAAAAATGAGTATTTAATTACAAAATTTGTAAGCTTCGAAAAAAGCAATCTAAAGCTGCATATATAATCCGCATTTCTATAAATAAATAAAAAAAAAATTACATTACATTTACTATTTTTTTAGCAAACATTACATTACAATTACCTTTTTATTTTAACAAATCGTACTAAAAAATTATTAATGATGTCAACTTTTTTCACAAAAATAATTAACGCGGACGTTGGAGAATTTGAATTCTAACTTTTTTTTTGGATAGTTAATTGATTTACATTTTATCTCCCGTAAATATATATATAAATTTTTTTTTACAGAAAGAAAATAATTTAAATTATATTGAGGAATATTCATTTTACTTTAACTCTTAAATTCTAAACAAATTATCTAAATTTTCTTAAATCGAGCATAACAACTAAGTGGTAATTAGTATATATCTTTAATCAAGAGATTGTAAATTTAATCTCCCACCCAAACATTTTGTACTTAAAAAGAAAAAAAAAATCAAAATTTAACTTAAATTTTGAAATATTTTTAAAAGAAATGACAATTATGGCTTTGAAAGTTCAAATATTATTTTAGTATCTATACTTTCGACTTTGGTTTTTCTACTTTCAAAACCTTCAATTTGGCATATGTACTTTCTACTTTGTTTATCTTAGTCTATGTATTTTCAAAACGTCTATTTTGGTTCTCGTACTTTTAAAATGTGATTATTTATATACCTTTCATTATTCTTTTCCATTTCTTTCGATCATGATTTAGAATGAGATTTATTCACTAAATTTCTTAAAATATTTTAAGTCATAAATTTGTATTAAAGAGTTTCAATCGCATATAAAATTTTACTAATAGGAACTAACTTTGTCACTTTTAAAAGTATAAGATAAAACAAAATTTAAAAACACCCCACCAAAATGAAGGTTTCAAATGAGCCAAAATTAAAATGATTAAAATATTATTTAAAAAAATAACAAAACAGAGAAATAGACTGAAGATAGAAAAACCAAAATAGAAAGAATCTAAAATTAAAATTAAAAACAAAATACGATTGAAAGGAAAAATTAAATAGACTAGTATGGGGAAACACGAGAGACGAAGGGACAGAACATAAAGCAACAAATTTCTGCTCGTAATCAGTAAAACCATTATTTAAAGATATCATATTCTCAAATTCCCGTTTTCTTTGAATCCGGTTGGTGCAACTGGAGCCATACGATTTCCCCAACGCCATTTCGACAGTCCAGATTAAATTCTCTGGGTGACCAACATGTTTCCACGTGGCGAGCTCCTATTTGTCTGTGCGCAAGGGGCAGTCCCCCGCCAGGGCATGCGGCGGACCCAATTTCAAAATTCAAATCGGCCATAAGCTCCCCTGCTCGCAACCCCACCGTAAAGTGGACAAGGCAGCCCAGTGGACCAATGAACGAGGGGAGCATGAAGCGTTAGGTAGGCGCGAGAGCAGGGGATCGAGGGGAGAATTTGAGAAAGAAAAAAGAGGAATTATTAAATAATTTAATTGGTGGAAATGGAAAATAGGAAATAGTAATAGAGAGTGTCAGTAACTGACAACTCCACTGCTGCAGGCTTTTGTCGTTGTCCAATAACACCGTATTCGCATGTTCTTCTCTCTCTCTTTTTATTTTTGAATTAAATTTGGAATTTATTATCCACGTCAGAGTAGTTATGTAATGTGGTAATTATTGTCAATTTATTCCTTCACCCACCATTCTATTTCTGCCCCCTCGCCTCCAATATTTTCGTAAATTATAATACAATATTGGTTTGTTTTTTATTTTTATCTTTTTATTTTTCAATTTTTACCTTAAATTTCACCTAATCACAGCTTAAATTTAGATAAACTGTTGTGATCTTTACCATTTAGACTTAAATAAATATCTTACTTTTGACCTTCTAATAAATTTTTTGATGGAAGAATCACCTTAAGAGGTATCTTCATGTATCACTTATAAAACATGAGTCTAGCATCATATTAATAGAATTAAGAAAAGTGATATTAAGCTAGTTTTTTTTTTTTTCATTCTATAGCAGATTTGTTGGTTGATCAAATTTAATTTGATGTGAAGCTTATTTTTAGTAAAGTTAGGCCAACATGAATATAACTTAACGGTTAAGACATCTTGTTCGTTTCTTAAAAGTCAGTGGTTCAATCTCTCATCCACCGTACTAAAACAATTACTAAGATTCATGGGTGATTTAGTAAAACTTGAATAGAGCGTAAAATTGTAACACTATCTAAGTTTTAAACCCAATTTGATGTACTAAAAAAGAATTCGATTTGATAAAGTTAAAATTTTATAGTAAAAATTTGATTGAGGTAGATAAATTTATGGGTAAAAATTGACTATTTTATGAATTGAACTTTTTAATCTTGGTCTTAAAATTTTAAAGTACCGTTTTTAATCTCTGATTTTTCCTAAAGAAAACATATTTATTTAAGCCTATAAAGTTCGAAAATATTATTGAACGAGAAAATTCCAAAATTAGGGACGCAAGTTTTCCCCATGACAATTGGGTCTCCTATATAGTTGTGGATTTTATTTTATTTTTCTATTATATATAAATGTAAAACTTATGGTCATTTTTCATTTCATTAGAGTGCTATGAATTTTGGGCCAGGATTGATGGAAACATAAATTGTATTAAATATCCACCCTTTATCCAATAACCTCAATATTTTCAGGATCTAAAAATTTTAGATTTTTTAGTCTCGTTGGATTTTGGTTATTATTTAAACTGCTCCCACGTACAAAAATATGATGGCAAAGCTAATTTTCTTTTTTTGTTATTTTCTCTGCCATAAATTATGTCCATCATTGCAACAATTTTTATTCTGCAGTCGGCGACATCGTGAAAAGTTAACTAAGCCAAGCACTTGAATGTGGAATCTCGAGAAACTAAGAAAGAAAAAGTTGACATATGAATGAATAAAAGACTGGGCAGCAGAAGAAACATGCATACTAGCTCTCGCTTATACATTAATTTTAAATCGGAAAAAAGAAGCTCGTTTTGACGCTCTATTATAAATTTAACAATTAACATACACAACTCCTCCCGTTTATACAGCGGAAGAATGTTGAGATCGTGGTGAATCAATTAAATGCTATATGCGCTTGTTTTGGTGGTGAATAATATGAGTTACTACCACACTCAATACCAGTCTGCAACAATGGATTCCATCTATCAAATATTATTCTGCCACCTCGTCCAATTCTGCCCCTAAATTTATGAGATCCCATTGACACACTATTCCTTAGGGAGGAGTCTGATGGTGGAACTATAGCTGCAGCTGCCAACTTCTCTGCAACCAGAGGTTTTGCAAACAACAAAACTGGCTCCACAGGATCCTGCACCAAACACAATCCCATCCCGTTAAAACAGTTTAGATTAATGTTCTAACAAGAGAGAATATGATTTTAAAGGTAAGTTGGTTCTCAATGTATTAATGGGTCGATCCTGTCGCCAGATAAGTATTAGCAACTGCTATTTTAACAGAAAGGAAGATGAATACCATTTTATGAAGCCATCCATGTGGCAACTGTTGCCTATATTCTGACTTTATGCTTTCACTTGGAAGCATAACTGCGTTTGCATCCATGAAAGAACCAGAAGTTCGTATACGTGGGGGGCGACTGATATCATCCAACTCCACAAATTCGTCCTCGCTTGAACCAAACTTGCAGGAGAAGGGTAAGAACCTGGGAAGTGCCAAGCTCTCTTCCAGAAGTTCAGTTTCGTGCTGATATCCCATGAGAAACCATGCACCAATATTGCAAGCAAAATTTAAGTAAAAAAAGATCACCAGAATAATATCAAATTTTAATAATATCGGGATGCAAATATAAAATGGACACTGAGGGATGATGTAGTGTTTAGCTAAATATAGAACACATTTAAGAGAAAGGAACACACTCAAGACACATGAAAAAGAATCTTCCGGACTCCAA